AAAGGAGGAAAAAGCGCTCCCTCGAGCGCAATATCAAGGCACCAGGGAATCGATGCAGATGACAGGTTGAATGAGAGATGGACCTGTGGGCTTCATTTGGATAGATCAGCAAGACCACAATTGGTCATTAAGACCAATTAATGGGGCTATTTTGGAGTGGTCATCAAGACCAGGATGGGTCATCAAAACCAGGATCGGTCATCAAGGCCAAAAATACATAAGAGTCCGGGAGTAATCAGGACCGATCTGATGACAAGTAACAACCACCAGTTCGATCACCTGGGCTGGAGATTGATTGAGACTCAACCAATCTGTCTAGCAGACTGTGTCTGACGATGCGGAATCGATGGGATCAAGCTGAATGATCTGAACCGCTCAGATAAACTTGCTGCCACGTGGATGAAAATGCTGCCACGTGCAGCATCTCTATTCAGGGGCAATTGGATTGATTGGGTGATGGGTATTATTGGTTGACGAGTGGCGTCAACTGGTGTGAGTCTTCTGTACCAATCGCGCCACGTGGATGAAAATGGTCTGGAGTCGGGACCGGTTGGACCTGGTGGTCCATGGTCTGGTCCAATTGGAATTACTTGGACGGCCATCGCGGACCTGGAATTACTTGGGTGGTGAATGTCGGCCATCAGGATCGGTCGGCTGTGTCAGTGACGTGGACGGGATGGCTGTTGTTTTACAGGACCGATTGGACCTGGTGGTGCAATTGGAATTACAGCGACCTGGACCAATCGGACGAACTATCAATGAAAACCAGCTCCAATCCGATTGGACCTGGACCAATCGGACGAACCATCAATGAAAACCAGGTCCAATCCGATTGGACCTGGACCAATCGGACGAACTATCAATGAAAACCAGGCCCAATCCGATTGGACCTGGACCAATCGGACGAACTATCAATGAAAACGTGAATGAGTGATTGATCTGGCATGGAACGATTGTATTGACCGACTTACGGATCTGGATTCTGAACCAGCCGGAGCAAGTGGGCGAGTTCTCTGGACCAATCTGGTTTATTGATTCTGGAATCTGGACCAATCAGACCAACGAGGTGAGTTTTNTGGACCAATCTGGTTTATTGATTCTGGAATCTGGACCAATCAGACCAACGAGGTGAGTTTTCTGGACCGATCTTGTCATTTGATTGTGTCGGGACCAATCGGATTAACGGGGCGCGTTTCATGGACCAATCAGAGCACTTTGGTTAGTTGATGATTCCGGAAGAATCGGATTCGCTCAACTGATCTTCTAAGGTATAAGATTGATTCTGTCTGGACCAATTAAATCACACTGGGTGAGTTCCTGGACAAATCTGGTTATTGATTGTGCGCCTAGACCAATCAGATCAACTGGGCAAGAGTCCTGGACCAATCTGGTTAATAGGTTCTGGAGTCTGGACCAATCAGATCGAACTGGCCGAGTTTGCTGAACCAATCTGGTTAAGCGTAAGTGATTCTGGACCAATCAGATCAAGTCAGCAGGTTTCCTTAACCAATCTCTGGTTAACTGATCGTTCCTGGACCAATCTGGTTAATAGGTTTTGGAGTCTGTACCAATCAGATCAGATCGAACTAGCCGAGTTTGCTGAACCAATACGGTTAAGCGATTCTGGACCAATCAGATCAAGTCGACACGCACATTTCGTTAACCAATCTCTGGTTAACTGATTGTTCCTGGACCAATCTGGTTAATAGGTTCTGGACCAATCAGATCGGATTGAACTGGCCGAGTTTGCTGAACCAATCTGGTTAAGTGTTTCTGGACCAATCAGATAAAGTCAGCACGTTTCCTTGACCGATCTGTTCTTAACTGATTGTTCCTGGACCAATCTGCCTGGTTATTAAGTTCTGGACGAATCAGATCGAACGGGCCGAGTTTGCTGAACCAATCAGATCGAACTGGCCGAGTTTGCTGAACCAATCCGGGGACCAATCCGATCAAGTCAGCACGCACGTTTCCTTAACCAATCTCTGGTTAACTGATTGTTCCTGGACCAATCAGAATCAGATCAAGTGGGCGGGTCTCTCTCTCCTCAGTGGGACCGAGTCCCAACCCAAATCTGGTTATGGGGGTGAAGTGAAGGCATCTGGAACAAATTTTTGGATCAATTCAGTGGTCAGTTTCATCAGACCAACTGGGCAAAGCTTCCAGGACCAATCTGGTTAATTGATTCTGGAGTGATTCTGATTCTGGACCAATCGAAGCAACTGGTCGAGTGTTGTGGACCAATCTGGTTTATTGATTCTGGAATCTGGTCCAATCGGCGGATCAAGTGTGCGGGTTTTGCTGATATGTATCAGGTCCAGTCTTGTTAAACAGGTGCAGAAGGGGTGCGGAGAACCTGGTCCAATTCAGTGGCCGGTTTTGTTCCTTGTGGACGGCCGTTGACGTTGAAAGGATAGAAGATGAATTAGCATGCCCCCTGCGCAAAGGATGATATCATGACACAAATAAATTGAGAAATGGTTCAAATTCGTTATCAGCGGTTGGACGAACTTGGTGAAACATCCAGACAGGTGAGTGTCGTAGACCAGTTTGAGTGAACTGGATGATTGACTTGGACCCCGGTGCGGAGTGATGACCAACTTTTGTGAACCAGGTGCAGAGTGATGGCCGACTTTACGAACCAGGTAGGCGTGGCCAGCGACTGGGTCTAAAATCAACATGGGTGAGCATCGCAGTCAGAAACCTGCCCTGTCGACGGATTGAGCAATCAGGGTCAACTTTATGAATCGGGTCAGGTGCACGGGCCAGTTACGTTTGGAGAGCATGCAGAGTCGATGAATGTGGCACGGATAAGAAGGAAGGGGGTGATTTTTTTTGGAAGCTCAAAATGGACCAAGGAGGGGTCAGATGATAAGTACGAGGGGGGGGCTGCAGTGTGCTGTAGCGGTAGGGAAATGGTCACCACCAGGGCGGAACTGCCAATTGCACGGATTCGATCCTCTGTATCATAGGTTTGGAAGATGGATGACCAGAAACAGTGTATCGGAGATTCGTCGGAGGACGGATGTGGCCAGAGACGAAGTGTCCGGGTGCATGAGACCTTGCCCCAGACAGAGTGTGTGTGTCCGGACGTGTTGGACCTTGCCCCGAGGAAATGGAACGTGTGACGGAGGGTATAGGTGCACGTAACAAGTCAAGGGGCGTCACTCCACCACCTGTCACATTCACTAAAGGCCAAAAAATATGGTGATGTATCTCCCCACGTTCTAGCGCAAGATTTGTTCTCATTTTGCACATTTGGTGAGCAGTGGAGCGAGGTCCAAGGACAAGCATCAGCTGGTGCAGCCAACAGCGGATGTGCTATCATCTTCCCCCAAATAGAAGGCATGGTCATTATATCTGTATTCAGAGAAATTTCAGGCCAGATACAGATCTAATGACCGTGCGTTCTCTTTGGGGGAAGGGAAGGCTGTACGTGCAGCGTTCTCCCGAAGGCAGCGCGGACGAACACTTGCAACGCGAACAGGATCAGTTTGGTGGGCAGAGAGTTTGCCTGCCTGAAGCCAAAAGCATGCTGCAAGGGGTCTGCATAAGCGCGTCTTGGGGTTAAGACAAAACCAGCGAAGACGAAAGAGAAGGTCGTCGGTGCAGCGTTCCTTTGCTGGCATGCTTCCGAAGGCGGTGCAGCGTTTTTACAAATTCAAATCGGTGGGCAGAGAGCTCGCCTGCCTGAAGCCAAAAGCATGCTCCAAGGGGTATGGATAAGCACGTCTTGGGGTTAATAAGACAAACCAGCGAAGATGGTTCGAAGCCGCAGGCTGGACGGTTCGCTCTCTGGGTCGGACGTCAGGGAATGGCGCAGATGGGTTCTTTTGGAAAGTAGGACCAAGTGGTCCGAATGTGGTTTTGAATGGACAGGATACATACAGGACTGGTGAATAATTGCGGTCTGACACATCGAGGAAAGGCACGCCGTGAGGTTGGAACTCAAAAGTCTCTACTACCCATATGCATGCTCATACGTTCAGGCCTCCATCAGACGGCTGGTGAAATGGAGGAAGAGGTAGGTGGTTTTGGGAGTGAACCAGCGGGTGTCGATGAGTGACGGCTGGTGAAATGGAGAAAGGGGTAGGTGGTTTTGGGAGTGAGCCAGCGGGTGTCGATAAGTGATGGCTGGTGAAATGGGTGATGGCTGGTGAAATGGGAGAAAGAGGTAGGTGGTTTTGGGATTGAGCCAGCGGGTGTCGATAAGTGACAGCGGGTGAAATGGAGAAAGAGGTAGGTGGTTTTGGGAGTGAGCCAGCGGGTGTCGACAAGTGTCGGCTGGTGAAATGGAGAAAGAGGTAGGTGGTTTTGGGAGTGAACCAGTGGGTGTCGATAAGTGACTGCGCAACAGTTAGGATTGTACCAGACGGATGGGACGGGACTACCTTATTCCCCCGAACACAACGTACGCTCATTCTAGCTGTATCTTGTCTGAAAGATGCGTTAAATAAGCTATAATGACCGTACGTTGTATTCGGGGGAATAAGGTAGATGAGCAGCCGGAAATGGAGCCAGATGTATGGGTTCAGGATATGCGTTCTCATGCATGCAGGACTCCATCAGACGGCTGGGAATGGCCAAGGTAGGTGGTTTCCGGAGGGAACCAAGTGGTGGCGATAAGTGTCGGCACACCAGTTGGGAGTGTACGAGATGGATGGGACCGGACCAGATGAGCAGCCGGAATCGATCCGGGGGTTGGAAGTGGAGCAAACGGATGGATGGGTTCGGCAGTGTGAGCCAGGGGTCTGTGGTAAGCGCCGTCGTGGACCAGATGGCCTTGAAGAAGTGAACCAAGTGGAATCATGAAACATGTCGAATGGATCGAGCGGTTTTGAACTTTGGAGGGAACTGGACAATCGGGACCGTAGTATTGGGCTGTTGGGAATGGACTAGGTGGCCTTGGACTGAGCCAGATGGTCTGGTGAGTCGAACCAGCTGGTGCAGGGATTACGCATTTATGTTCCGTGACGAAATCGGGAACCCGAGATTTCTGATTAATTCCCGGGGGGGGGGGGGGGGG